CGAGAGGAGAATGGAGGAGAAGGGATTGCGGCATGACCATCCCCCCTGGGGGAGATTTCTCGCTTTCTATCTCTTTGTCTCTGTCAGGCGAGCACACGCGCCATATAGGAAAAATCCCTCCCCAAAAAAAAAAAAATAGAAGAACTTCAAACTGCTGAAAAAGAACTTTCGAACTCCAAAAAAGAGGTTTCCTTAAAATTTCTAAATTTTCAGGAAACAGGGACAGATACCTCAAGAAATGACACAGAACTTCAAGCTTTAAGAAATTATCTATCTGAGGGACCAGCAGTTAGCGTAATGGCTATGTCGCTGGACTCCCACGTAGTCGACCACAGTTCGAGTCCCAGACCCAGCGGCTTAAACTCATGCTGGGCGCATGTGCGTGCGTTCCCAAGATCCCGAGAGGAGAGTGGATTGGGACGTGGCCATACCCCTTGGGGGGTGATCCCGAGAGGAGAAGGGATTGCGATGTGGCCATACCCCTTGAGGGGTGATTTCTCACTTTCTATTTCTCTGTCTCTCTCTGTCTTTCTGGCGAGCACACGCGCCCTATAGCAAAAACCTCTCCAAAAAGAAAAAAATATATATCTATCTGGGGGCCAGCAAGTGGTGAGGTGGTTAAGGCGCTGGGCACTTCCACATGCTTAAGCATGGTTCGAGTCCTGGACCTGGTAGCTTGCTTTCTCACTTTCACTCTCTGTGTGTCTCTCTCTCTTTCTGGTCAAATTAAAATAAAATGAATGAATAAATAAATTTTTTAAAAAGACATAATCCATCTGAAAAAGCAACAAATGTCAAATACTTAGCTGAAAAGCTCCAGCAAGCCAAAGAAATCATCTATAAGCTGAACCTAGAGAACAGAGATTTAAAAGAAGCTGTTAGAAAGTTAAAGCATCAAATGAAAGTGGGAAATGCACGCCTCAAAGAAGGAATTAAATTGAATCATCAGTTATAAATGGAAAAAATCCACACAGAAATAAAGGCCATCAGGAATAAACTTAGAGCTGAGAAATCCCTGCAAACAAAAATAACAGAGCCCGGGGACAAGCAGTTAGCATAATGGCTATGTCACTGGACTCCCATATAATCGACTATGGTTCGAGTCCCGGACCCAGTGGCTTAAACTCACGCTGGGCATGTGTGCATGCGTGCCCAAGATCCCAAAAGGAGAATGGAGGAGAAGGGATTGCAGCGTGGCTATCCCCCCCTGGGGTGTGATTTTTTGCTTTCTATCTCTCTGTCTCTCTCTGTCTTTCTGGCATGCACACGTGCCCTACAGCAAAAAATCTCAAAATAATAATAATAATATACCAGGTGCATGTGTGTGCATGCCCAAATCCTGAGAGGAGAACGGAGAAGGGATTGTGGCTTGGCTTTCCCTTGGCGAGGGGGAGTGGGGGTGGATTTCTCACTTTCTTTCTACCTCCCTCTCTCATGAATCCACAAGCCCTATAGGAAAAAAAACAAAACAAAACATAGTGATTTAACAAATCGTTTATGAATACAAATCAGCAGCCATTCTTTTATCTCATGAGCAATATGTCTTTGGCATGTGGATATTCTTCCATCTGTGTTCATTGACGTTAACAATAAAAATCTCGGTTATGTATAAAAAAGAATATGAATTTAATTTTTAAATAACCATAAAAACACATTGCATGTTAACATAGTTTTATGAAAAACAATGTTCTTTAGGGCAACAAAAGTTTAGTTATTAAAGTAGCATATTTAAACATTTTTGCAAATCTCTTTACTGCCTGGTTAAACAGAAGACAGCAAGAGTCTCACATCTGATTCTTCATTCAGTGCATTGCAGTAGGTTATTTTGATTGAAGCATGTAAAGAAGACTAATCTCACACCATAGGTAGTTTAAAATGAAATGGGTGTTTTGTTTTTTCAAATAAATGTGAGTTTTTATCTTTAAATTGACATAAAAGTTAAGGGACCAGCAGATGGCATAATGATTACGTCACTAGACTCCCACGTAGTAG